GCTGGTGTGTGGTCCATCTCAGTCCACTGAGCTTCCTTCCAAGGTGCCCCTTCTCCATTCCCAGACCACTGTGGAAGGTCTTCTTTGTCACAGTCATAACCTACCTCCCACGCACACGTACCTCCAGACTTGTGTGCCCCAGAGGGGCAGGAGTCTCACTTCCATCTTTGCTGGGAAGGATATTAAGGTGATTCCTACTTCCACGGTTTCCTTTTAGGGAGGAAGGGCACAAGTATTACACCTGACAAGTTGCAACCAAATCACCAGGGCCAGATGGTGTCTTCAGGGTGAACTTGAAGAACCACTGACCAAAGGGGTCTGCAAGAGACTGGCCCTTCGGTGGGCAGAGGCCAGCCCAGAGAGGAAGTCCCAGAGGGAGGCGGCAGTGCTCTGAGAAGTGCGTTTCCGGGCCCAGTGTACTGCTTATACCTCCTCTCGTGGAAACTTGCCGTTCTTACCGGTTCTGCTGAGATTTGAAATGGGTTTTTTTTTTCTGCTGTTGGAATTTGAAGTTTGAGATTTAATGTGGTCATTCCAATTACAAAGTTATGATCTAGCCAGTTTCTTTTTAAAATTGGAACCCACGCACAACAGACTGACTCTTTCAAGGAACCTGTGAGGAGAGGGGGAGAGAGGGGGAGGAGGGAGTGTGGGGCGGGCGGCCCCACTTCACAAAGACACACGCTGGGGCCCAATGGAACTGCTCGCTGTCACCCAGTGAGCAGCGGCAGAGCCGGAATAAAGGCCCCGCCCGAACTAGTGACTCTTAGGCCAGTTGACTGTGTTCAGCGTGATTAACGAATTGGTTTTTTTCTTGAGCTATTGATTTTTTTTCTTCCAATCATATACTTACATGTTTGAGACTACTCTCCACACACATACACTTCCCCCAATTCCTATGGAAACACTGTCTGTCATTCTGGGGATGGGAAGGGAACTGACTCATGTGCCCCAGCTGAGGCCCAGCACCAGGGTGTCTGTTTCACGCGGGACCACGAGTGCCATTCCTGTTTCCGGTGACTCTTGTCCTGCTCCCCACCCTCCCTGCCCCTCCTCCCCCACCTCTGCGGGGTGGCAGAAGCTGCCTCACTCTCAGCCTGTCCCCACAACACTCCCTCCGTCCTTCCCCTTCCATCCCCACAGCCCTGTGTTCTTGGTTCCTACCCTTGGGACTGGACACTTGATTATGTAATGCCATGCTTTTCCATTTGGGGCAAAAAAATGTGACCTGGGGGGGTTCGTGGCCAGGGTATCAGGGGCACTTGGTCATTCTGAATAAACAGGGTGCACCTTCCTAGAGTATCATGTCTATGGAAAGATTCCTGTGAGGGCTGGCAGAGGTTGGGTGATTCACCTGTTCTGAACGATTGTTTTCGTGTTAGAGCACATGAGGCAGCACAGAAGGTAACACAAAGCACTGCAAAGTGGCAGCTTTCGCTCCTATTCCCAGGTTTCCCCTGAGTAGGGCCCGGCACTGGGGTGCTGGGGGAGGGCGACAATGGGAGCCAATCTGGGACAGGAAGGGAAGGAGCAGGCAAGCACAAGGCACAAGTCCAAGCGGGGACACGGAGCGAGGCCACACAGCCTGGTGGCCGAGGGCCTGGGCTCTGGATGCCAACATCTGGGTCCAGCCTCAGTTTCACTTCTGTGTACCTGACAGCCAGGTAAGCTCCTGAGCCTCTGTGTCTTGATCTTATCATCTCAGAATGGGGATGTTGACCCTAAGGATTCTGCTTTCAGGATTAAAAGGAATAAGGTACATACAGAGCTTAGGCCATCTCCTGGGAGGGGAGGCAAGCTGAAATCAGAGGATCGATTACCATCATCGGGGCAGAGGGCTTCCCACAGGAACCAAAACAGTGTGGGTTTTCCTTTTTTTTTTTATTTCTAGAAACGAGCTGGGAGAGAGAGTGAGTATGAAATGACCGAGTGTGCCCTGAAGGCTGAGGGACAGAGAGCTGCAGCTAACAGGTCAGCCAGAGGCCGAGAGGCCGCAGCCTGGAGACAGGAGGAAGGCACACGAGCCCCAGCAGGGGCACGGGCAGGACTCACAAAGCGCCATCAAAGGTGGCCGGCCCTCCCTTGGCGCTTTTCCCTGGGCATGTTAGCGCTTGCTAAGCGGGAGCTCTCCTCTGCACTTATGTTTACTCTTAGTGGCTGTTCTGTGGGGGGAAAATGAGGCATTTCAAATATTCCATCCGCAGACAAAAGCCTTCAAACAGTGGGGAACGTAGTGTGAGACAACAGGGACTGACTCCTTTGTTAACCCGATGTGGCCACTCGGTGTATCACGCTCTCACAGTTCATGAATTTGCACGCACTGGGGTTAAGAACAAAACAACGATGATGACAACTCAGTTCTTAAAGAGCCAGGTGAAGGAAGAGGCCAGTTCTGTGCAGAGCGGAGCATTCCTGTTGAGTGAATGAAATACAAAACCAGGCTGCTCCAGGTAAGAAGGTAAGAGGAACAGGAGGTGGAACTAGGCCAAGCCCCATCTCTCCTCCCCCCGCTCTCAGAATAGCTTTCTTTGTTGGGCGAATACACCTGAGGTGAGCCTTCCTCACTCCTCCTCCATGCGAATCCAGTGTTCTGTCCAGGTAACTCCTTCCAGGTGCCCCGGTGGGAATAAAGCGGCCACCTTAACTCGAACTCCCATGCCAAATCAAAGCTCTGCCCAGGTCCTTTCACGGAACAGACAGAAATGAAATGGACGCCACCCTCAGAGGTGCCAGACCAAGCCCACATGAAAATGTTTCAATTTCTTACACACAAACCCATTTATTTTTGGTTCATTTCAGTATTTATAGCAGCGCACATGTAACCTATTTCAATCCATATGAATAGTACCCAATTGTGGGAGCAAATTAATCTTTTATGAGCTACTCAGCAGTGAGGTTAGAAGATAAACAGTAGGTGAAATAGCACACGCTCCTCTGCACGTGAACCTTCTTATTACAATAAGCTCCCGCACTGGAGCTCACCACATCCAGCGGCTGCCGCTCGCTCTGATCATGCGGCAGCCCGAGTCGCCCCCTGCCACCTCTGCCGTGCTGCAAGAGCTCTCTGATCAACCACCTGGGTTGGACAGGCTGCCATTTCCAGGCTGGAAGAAAAGGCCTATAAATCTGCTTCCTGGGAAGACAGACATTGCTGAATTGTCTTCGGCCTCCAGAATGCAGAAAACATCAATTTCACTGCGGCTCCTCCAAGTTGGAAACACCTGCCACTTCCTTTCTCAGTTGCAATTAACATGCTGCAGCTCAGGACTGATTGATTCCAAGCAGCCTAACACAGTCAAATCGAGATTTAAATGAAAGAGTGCAACCGGATATTTTTTACAGTTTTAGAAACACGAACTTATTTGTGTTTTTATTGCCAAAGGACAGCTACAATAGTTAGGGCTATAAGTCTTTATGCTTAAGATAAATGTGAGCAGGCTAGGCTGATGCTTATAATAAAAACAGCTCTTTATCTTGGTATTTATTTGGAAATGGTACTTGTTTATCTTTGGTTTTCATTCTTTTTTTGTGTGGACAAAGTGGAGGAATAATATTATTTCTGTATCCCAGCACCTAGTGCAAGGCTGCAGAATCCCGTGGGTATTTGGAGAATGTTTATTAAACAAATAAATGAATGGATGTTTTGGGAAAGCAAGCTTAAGAACTGTTCCCTTGGTCCAACTTACGTAAAATTCTGGACTTAAGACCGTTACGAGCCCTTTGGTTTAACTTAAAAGCTGTGAGAGGCTATGCAGTATGACCTGAGGTGGGGCTTATGTCTCATTCTGAGCCCTAAACTGCTCAGCCTTAATCACCAGTGTCCCTTTAAGGGACAGCGAAGGCTGTGTCTGTTTTCACCATAATCTCACTCATATTACATACAAAGAAACTGTCTTCAAAACGTATAATATTACACATCTGAGAGACATCCTCTGTTGTGAATAAGGAATGGAATCATTTTGAATACTTTAACAGCCACAATATTTTGTGTTCTTGTGGAAATGATCTTTGAAATAGTTTTATGTACTGGTAAAACTGAAAGCCACTGTAAGTAGAAGCCCATTAAGTATGAGATTTATGTTTTCACTTGGCCAGATAAGACATAGTCTTAAACCACAGACCATAGTCTTTGAAAGAAAAAGTCAACAAATTGTCTCTCATATGTTAGCAGAAAACCAGGGCCAAGAACTCCCTTCTTTCTGGGCCTTCTTGGGAGAATCTTTTTTTTTTTTTAGATGGAAATAGAACAAATTAAAATAAGTGGCAATTAATTATTTTGTGCAAGAACAACCCAGACCCTGCACACCTGAGCATCACAACTGTGCGAGCATCCAACAAAGCATTTTTATGTGACTGACCAAAAACCCCAAACTTAAATATTTCTGAATATTCTAGAATGAAAACTGAAGTTATATATCCTCTTCTTTAAATGAGCTAATATTCCTGCACATCCATAGTCTCACCTCCAAATGCTTGATGGCTGAAAATATTAGTCTATCTCCATAAATATTTAATACTATACAACTCACTGCCATCAGCATCTGAGTTGTTTGTATGTTAAATAGCTTATTTGCCAAAATCGTAGTGATAATAGGTCTTCTACAAATTATAACACAAGGAAACCAGAATTATGAGGAAACCATGTTAGTGATTCCCACCAAATAAATAAAATAGATAAATAGCCATAAGTGACATAGTTTTGATAGATAGGTAGGTAGATAGATTGATGCCAATACATATTTCCTAATAATAGAATTCAGACACTAAATGACTTGATTCTTTAAAAAAAAAAGAAAGAAGGAAGGAGAAAGAAAGAAAGAAAGGAAGGAAGGAAGGAAGGAAGGAAGGAAGGAAGGAAGGAAGGAAGGAAGAAAGAAAGAAAGAAAGAAAGAAAGAAAGAAAGAAAGAAAGAAAGAAAGAAAGAAAGAAAGAAAGAAAGAAAGAGAAAGAAAGAAAGAAAGAAAAAGAAAGAAAGAAAGAAGGAAAGAAAGATGGAAAGAAAGATGGAAAGAAAGATGGAAAGAGAAGGAAAAAACCCTACAGCCTTAGGAACTTGCTATGCCATGGAAAGATTGCATTTGATATAACCCGAAACGTCATCTGACTCAGGAAATCCGGTTACAGTTCTGATTTCTGGCTCATCAGAGGGCCGCATTGGGGAACTCAGACGGAAGCGGTTCATGGGTCACTTACACTGAGGGAAGTCCGAACCAACTTTTGCAAAGCCCCTTACGTCCAGTGACATATTTAAGCACTTGGAGAAATGAGAGAGGCCAAACATACAACAGCAAAGGGTTCTTCAGTCTGTCTCTCACCAACAGCAGCCAGAATCTTCAAAGAATCCCATAAAGGGAAAATAATAAAATACTTTACGACCACAGATTCCCACTCAAAATCTTTTCTTTGGTTCCATGTGAACTATCAAAACATCCCAGGAATTTCACATCAGTGAACAAAATCCACCTCCCAGCTTTCCTGTACATTGAAAATGTCATTGAAAAAGATCCATGACCCCATTTGGAATTTGGTAAATGGGGTCACTGCACTCAGCTTCACCCTGAAGTCGGAAGTGGTTTTGTCCTTGTCCTGTGGGGTTCCTGGGCAACCCCCGCAGAGTCTCGCAGTCCCCTCTGTGCTGGGCTAAGAAGACCACCACTGGAACACATTGCTTACCTGGCATCACTGGCGCGTTCATTTCTACAGCAGCACCAACCTCACCCATATTTTATCAACGAATGGAAGAGTTTCTCTGTTTGCCATGTCCAACAGTTGTTTGAAAATTATTCATTTCCTAAAAAACACTTTCCAGTATGTTCCAGGGGCCACAAGGACAGTACTCAGAGAATATAAAGCTTTTCTAAGCCAACAGTATTTGGTGAAAACTAATGATCTTGCTGGTATAAAGTTAAAGTTTTATTTCCTTTCTCTCTTTCTTTTTTTAATAAAATTAAGGCTCAAATGTCCTATTAAACTCTCATTGCTTATGTATATTATATTAAGGCTTATAAATACACCTGGTAAATGAAATTCACCCTGGATTGAATTAACACCTGCTATGTGAGTTATTTGCTCTGTATAATCAGCAATCTCATGGTTTCCCCTCTTTCTCTGGAAACACAGTGTAAGTATTAACCTAATCTTTAAACTGCTGCTGCTTCCTTCTGACATTTGGAAACCAGTCATCCGTGCAAAAAAAAATTAAAAAGGGCAAATATGGATATATTAATGAAAAGGCAGCTTCTTAAAAATCTTAAGATGTGTAACTCAATGAATTGGGCTGAGAAATGATAAAAAGCAGAAGGAAAGTCAATCTCTGTGTCATTTCTAGGGAAAGCAATGCCGGTCCTCTGCCAAGGTCACCTCCAACCAGAGAGACCTGCTGAAGCTGACGGCCGGTTTCAAAAGCATCTTTGTATTTTCTTCATTATGATCTCTGGGAGGATCTGGGGCAGCTATAGCATATATAAGAGAATTTCAGTTTTTTAAAACATATTGCATATGGTATAACTTAAGTTTCAGGGATGACAAATCCTGCAAAAGGACACAGGAGTGTGTGCGGCGGGTGTGGTAGCCGGGTCTGGTCCTTGGCTGGCTTCGAGGGACAGAGCCCCTGCTCACGTCCTGCTCAGCTGACAGCCCCTGGAGAATATGAAGCTTTCAAAGTGCTGGTCTTCAGCCCTCTCTTTTATGCGTTGTGCCTCTAAGGAATCCACGAGTTTGTCCCTCTGCTCGATCACTTGCATCATCTCGGTGAATATTTCTCGCTCCTCATTTAGATCGTTCTCATCTTTCTGGCTCTCTAAAGAAAGAAAAAGAAAACATTGGACCTCAGGTAAGATTTGGCCCCGGGAGAGCTCTTGGCCTCTGCATTCTTGATTGTTCTGGACTTGTTCTGCCCTTTAATTTCCATGGAGAAAACAAGGAAATGAATTGAACACCAGGGAGCTGCTCTCAAAGCCGCAGATTAGAACGGGGAATGCTTTGTGCTGCAGTCAGCTCACTTTCCATCTTGAGAATATATATAAAGCGACAGGAGAGAACCCCTTTGTAAGAAAAAGAAGTTAATACCAGCCAAGCCCTATCAAGGTCTACAACCTCCCCTCTCCTGGAAAAAAAAATCTCACAAACAACAGAAAGGCTGTTTTCTCTAAACATGTCTGAGATACAGCAAGAAGAGTTTCTAAGTAAACTGTGCACCGGTGGCTAGTATTTCAATGACCAGAATCCTTTTTCAATTTGTAGTTAATGACAAATTGTAGGCCTTTGGGGCAAAAGCAAAGTGAGGCTACAGATGGACAACAGGAGGACATTTCCAAACTATGACTGCTTTTCCCTTTAGCCTTTTGGAGTATGTGACCTTCTTCTTAAATAGCCAGAGACAGCAGACTGCCTGGGGGAGATGAGACTTACAAAAGCAAGGGCAAGAGTAAGAAACAGGTACTGCAGTCATGATATTCTGACATTCAAAATAGAATTTTAAAGCTAAATTTAAGTCTTGTCGGCCAGATTATTGCCTTGGGACAGAACTTCACGAATTCCTTTAGCCCCTTCCTTTAAACACACTGGGACTAGTCCGAGAGCCCACCCCAGAGTGGAGAAGGGGCAACTGTCTCTCACATCAGGCCTGGTTCTGAGGCAGAGTCAGCACGAAGGCACACAAGACAACAGAGAGATAAAGAAGCACCATTCCCTTTGCAGCACACAAGAGCTCTCTCTCTGTTCCAGCCTCTCCATTATGGACCTTAGAAGCCCCCAAGGGGGCAGGAAATGTCTTATTATTTGCTAAGAATACCCAAGGATTCTTGTCTTGCCTCTTGCTTGGAACTCTGGGAAGAAGCCAGCTGGGAGGGGCCAGACTTGGTGGTTACCAGGGGGCAGTACTTGGTGGTAGGGCAGACAAGTAGGGCATGAGTGTGACTCCCCAGATCTCGATCAGCTGTGCGTGGCATGGGTGGAGCCTACAAGGGTTTACTTTTCCCAGAGCAGCCAAAGGAAGCTGGCCAGTGGGCCCCTGGGGCTCCCTGCGGATGAGAGTGAAGTGGCCCCCCAGCTGAGACTGGATGGGGAACTGTCTAGCCAAGGTAACTGGAGGACATGCTGAGGAGAGGCCAGTGAGCCAGGGAACACCGCCAGGCTCCAAGCACACCGAGAGAATGGCAGGCTGTGGGTTACACTAGCTACACACTTTAGCTGCAAATGCCAGAAGAGGGGGGCGGCGCTGGGCGGGGGCGGGGGAGATGACAGGAGATAGCTGAGAGGGGATTTGGTGACTCAGGACAACCCACGCAGATTCCCAGTGCCAGAAAGTCATACAAACAGGCCTCTCCCCATTACCCGGCCATCACCTTAGGGAGCAAAGCAGAAGGAAGGGGTAGCCATCTGCAAGATTGAACACTTTCATTCCAAAGAGACTGAGCATTTCCTACAGGGACTGTTTAAAATATTGCATCAGACTAAGTTTACCAGAGAAGGATATATAAAGTTCTTTTTTTTTCCCTTGTTAATTAGGGGGGTGAAGCTCTCGTGGAAGATGAGCTTAGGCACAGACAGAATGAAGAAGCTACATATTTTTTTGTACACCTGAGAGGAGAAAGTGTATGACCATCACTCCTTAGTAACAATTTTGTACTGAACGTTGGCTAATAAAGTCCTTGGTGGTATTTATTTTTGCACCCTGAAATGGAGGAAATTAAAATTGTTATCAGAGGTATAAATCAGACATTACTTCTCTACTATGGATTCTTAATTTAGGTGTATTCCAGTTCTAGTGTTCCTTATTTGATCATCAACAAAGAAAAAATTAAATTCCTGTCTTAATTTCAGTTTGTTGAGCCCTTTCCAAGTGTACAGTACAGCTCTATATGATTCTGTTACAAGTAGAACTCTGTTGCTATAAAGAAACCATCTACAAATCATTACTAACAGGAGAACCTGAATCTCTGGTAATTTGTTCTTTAATCTTGGCCCTAGGTTTTACCTTGAGCGTGCTTGTTAAGTGCTCAGACTCAGTTTTCTACTCTGTAAAGTGGGGATGAAATCCCTAAATAAAAATATTCACGATGATGATATCTAATAGTTACTGAGTGCTTGCCCGGTACCAGGCAATGCCGTAGGTAGGTACAATGTTCTGTCCGTGAGGTGTAAAGAAACTATTTGATTTGGTTTCTTTTTTTAGATCTAGGTCTTTTTTTTAATTAAAAAATATGTTTATTGATTCTTCAGGAGAGAGGAAGGGGGAGAGAGCAAGAAACATTGATGTGAGAGAGAAACGTCAATTGGTTGTCTCCCATACCTGCCCCCACCGGGAATTAAACCCACAACCTAGGTATGTGCCCTGGTTGAGAATCGAACATCCAATTTTTTTGTTGTACATGACAACACTCCAACCAACAAAGCCACACCAGCCAGGACTAGACCTAGGTCTTCATGTAAGAAAGCCACGCATGAATGTGCCCCAATGAACACACAGGTGCAAAACAGAGTGATTGTGCCCAGCTGGCTGGAGCCAATGAATGTATAAGTCAGTATAGCATGTCAGATGGGTTTATTTCGGTTCTTTGCCCTTCCTGGTAAAAAACTTTTCTCACATACAACACCCGAGCCCAGCCCGTGCTGGGAAGGATGTTTCCTTTGTCACCTCCTCTGTGGTCCCCAAGCACCTGTGTTGCAGCCCTCATCTCACTGCCCCATGATTACGGCACTGGGTGCTGGTCCCCACAGTGAGACCACAGGGCACAGTGGATCTTCTCCATATGCCAGGAACACGCTAGACTCTCCACAAATACTTGTTAAAGGAGCGAATGAATAAGTGAATGAATGCGTGGATAAATGACTTTGTGTTCTGTTCTGACACTTGGGATGGAGCCAAGCGCCGCTCTCATGGCCCACATGAATGAAGCTAAATAGGGATTTGCTGTGCTGGGGGTGGTGGGCAGAGGGCAGGCTAGCTCTGCGCTCCCCTCTGGCTCCCAGACGGAAGGGCACGCTGCCGTGTGACCTGCAGCGTGCCCTGCTCGGGGGGCTTTCTGGGGGGAAATGTCTTTAACAAGGACCCAAAATATATCACCATACTCACCCTCCTTGAGCATTTTCTCTCTTAATTTCTGCTGCAGTCTGCTTTGGTGATCTTCCAATTCTAATTCTTGAGCCCTAGGGATGAGAAAGCATTCAAACTTTGAAATACTAGAGATCTGTGTAGACACATTGATAAATAAGCCCATTGGCAGAAGCTACTACATTCTTTTTTCCTTATTAAAACTGGAATATCTCTAAACTGAAAGTTTTGCTGCTGTGGGGGTCATCGAAAGTACCAAGGAGGATCGCTGAGAGATGCTGAACTCAGGAGAGGATGGGGAGCAGCTGGTTGAGATGTGCCCCCAGCAGGTTTTGGGAAGGCAAGTCATGCTAACCTTTTACAGAAGGATCATAGAGGAATGACTAGAACAGCCTAGAGGTAGGGAAGCAATGACAGGCTTAAATTCTTCTCTATTTGGGGGGCAACATGGCTTCAAGTCCCCTCGAACCACTCCCAAATGTCTGATTGTGGTGGACAAGAAAATGAGAAAGCAGGAACGGGAGTGAGACGTTCTGTCCAGATGGAGGCAGTAAAGCTCAGACGACTATCTGGTAGTGAGAGCTGGGGAGAGAAGAGGCAGGGATGCTTTGTCCAGGTCAAGCTAGATTGCTGGGGACTCAGCGTCTCCACTGAGAAGAACAGCAGAGGAAGAAATGAAGTTCGCCCTTGGTGAAGGTCAGTTTGGAGCTTGCCCTTTGAGTGCCTGGGAATATCTCATGTATATCACAGAGTGTGCAAGCCCCCCATGTGCTAGGCCATGTGGAGCTCCCCCAAACCTTTGGGAATGCAACTCCGGAATTCTTGAGAGAAGTGAGGATCACAAAGAGAGGTGACAAGGGTCAGAGGTGGTGGTAGAAGTCATGATACCCCTAAAAAGGAGACTCTAGAGAAGGAAAGTTTTGAAGACAAAAGATTTGTAATGCCTACATTGAGAAGCCAAACAAAAGAGGTGGAGCCAGGGAAGAAACATGTAAGATGTTGGAAGGATAAAACAAGAAATGCTGTGTCACAGAGACCAAGAGCGATGTTTTGAAGGGCAAGAAAGAGGTGAGTGGTTCACAGAGACGTTGAAGAGGTGAGATGAGACTATGCCCCTGGGTTTGCCATGGTGCCCCCCACCCGCTGCAGCTTACATGTGTATCTGCTATAGAGTCGGGGTCATTTCACTAAACCTTATTGTTGCTCTCATTATTTTTACTACTTCTAATACTTGGGCAAAGGTCCCTGCCTTGTTTAATGTTCTACCTTTCATTATTGACACTGAACTTCTCTTGGCCCAGTGTGGTAGCCCACAGAGTTGAGCCTCTCTGCCCTTAAGAGAGAATTTTCTGGGAGGAGTGTAATGAGCTGACTGCTGCTGTAGAAGCCATTCAGTGTCATGCTGAGGCCACACAGTCCCCCCACAGGTCCCAGACAATGGCAGTACTAGAGCTGGGCCATTCCACCCAACTTCAGACTCCTCTGACGGGCAATCTTCGCTCTGGTGTGCCCCACGGCCTCTCTGATGCTTTCTCAGGGCTCTGATGCCAAGGCTCCTGCAGCCCAGTTCTCAGTCAGTCTGCTCCTTTCACAGGCCTCAGGACTGCAGTGGGGCACAAATACCTCCCTCTTACTCCTGCTGTCTCTCCCTCATCCTCCACAGGCACTTTCCCAACACCTCTCTTGTACTTCAACCCTGTTTTGGCATCTGCTTTCCAAAGACCCAGATGGACATTTCTCTTGTTTCTCCAGGTCTACCTCCAAACTAAAACCTATCCTCTAACAAAGCTCCTGCCTGCCTTTGTCAAGCTCATCAGCCCCAGTCCTTCTGTTTGGCCACTTTGGGAAGAGAAAGCTTCCCCTGCCGTGTGCTCATGGGAAGCCCCAGCCACTGAGCAGCCTTGGCAGCAGCCAGTGCCCCCGTGACTCTCCCAGGTCGGCCCTATGCAGGCTGCTCCTTGTGCAAACCTCCACGGAGCCCTTGCCATGTTTTCTTATCACTATTGTGCTATGTGTTTGCAGGTCTGCCTCCCCTGAAACCACACGAACCTAGAAGAGAGGGACTGTGGCCTCTTTCATCTTTATTTCCACAGCACCCAGCACAGTGCCTGGCACCTAGAATATAATATGCTTCATACATTTTTCTTGAATGAACTTTATAATTCAGACCTGACACCCAGGCAGATAGCATGGTTGTGTAAAAAGGGCTTTGTAGTCAGGTCACCGTGAACAAATTGCTTAGTATGTGAGCCTGAGTATGGGCATCAACTTAAAAAATAGTGATAGGAAAAACAGTGAGGACAAATAACCCCATCTTCCCCATTCCTAGAATTTTCTTCCATGTTAGTGGAGCTCAATGAGCATAACTCCTCGCCTCCACCCCGCTCCCCTCTCTTACTTACCCTCTCCCCAAGGAGGGCAAATTTGGAAAGACTAGTCTAAGTAAACTCAGCTTGCACCCTTTCTCTCCTGGGATCAGCCTGCCTGCAGCAGACATGTGTTCTTGATCACACTGAGCCCTGCCTTAGGTCTAGGGCAAGGTTCCTCAATCTTAACATTATTGACATTTCAGGCTGGATAATTCTTAGCTGCTGGTGAGAGGGGTGTTCTGTGCATTGTGGAATGTTTACTAGCACCAATGGCCTTTACTTACTAAATACCAGTAGCACCTCTTAGTTGTGACCACCAAAAATGCCTCTGGACATGGCCAAATATTCCCCGGGGAGGCAAAATCATTCCTCATTGAGACCCACTGGTCTAGTGTAAAAGCTCTGCCCTCAAGAAGTAAGTGGTCCATTACATTTTGTGATAAGTATGTCTAATTCTGGAGTTTGGTTAGCATCGTGAGTTGAATGGCGACCCCAAAAGAAATGTCCACGTCCCACCCTCTGGAACCTGTAAATGTGAACTTATTTGAAGAAAGGTCCTTGTAGATGTAGTATGTAATTAAGTTAAAGACCTTGAGGTAAGAGCATTCTGGATTACCCCAAGAACTCTAAGTCCAATGACAAGCACCCTTACAAAAGACAGAAGAGGAGAAGACACACACACAGAGAGGGCCACGTGAAGACAGAGGCAGAGATGGAGTGATGCAGCCACAGCCCAGGGACGCCTGGAGCCACCGGGGCTGGAAATGCCGTGGGAGCATGGCCCCCCTAACATCTTGATTCAGACTCCCCTCTTCCAGAACAGTGAGAGAATAAATTTCTGTTATTGTAAGGCACACAGTTTGTGGTAATTTGTTACCCCATCCTTAGGACGGTAACACAGATGACAAGCTCACCCGGACTCTCACATTAGAAAAGCCATTATCAGTAATAAAGGTCATCTTTATGTTTCATCTGTTGGCTTGGTCTTACTTCTCACCTGGTTCAGCACCCAGCCAGGGGAGAGGAATAGAATTCATTATACCTCTTCACAGACCTCTCCCCACCTCCCCGCAAAGTTACCTCTTGGGACTGGGGTGAAATCAAATGAAACGGCAAAAGTAAAAGCACCCAGTACAACTTGTGGCACTTAGTTGTTTTATATTAAGTGTTTCTTTCTCTCCATAATGGTGATAGGTATAGTGACCTTCGACTTGGTCAGAGTGTGTTGAGCTCCACGTCCACTTTCTGATCTCCAAATCAGGCTGCAACCCCCCATTTGGAGAGGACAGACAGACAGATCTCAGTCCTTCAGTTCGTTAATGCCACAAGGAATTGCCCGGGCAGCTCTCACCCAGCCTTTCCCGTGGTTCATGTTCGGAGGTCAGAGACATGCTTCCCCACTGCAGCTGTGTGATTTCAGGTGGGTCCCTAGGTCTAGGCAACGGGCATGGATTGAAAATACTTTTTCCAAATGCCCTCTAGCTCCAGACCCATCACCTGAAATTTATTTTAGCTATGGGACTTCACAGAGAGAATAGACAACTGAAGACTCTCTACACTAATGCCAGCATGATATGCAAGACATCAAATATCAATTTGCCTCAATCACTATTCTGTATGCGCAAGGCGAAAAAATTCTGGGACCGCAACCTAGGAGGGTGAGCCACCCCACTCCCACCCCGCTTTGCGTTTAGGACTCACTGTTATCTGTGTTGCCTTACTTACATGATCAGTAGCTCCGACTCATATCGCATTAATTTATTCTTCTCCAGAACCAGCTTAAACCATTCCTGCAAAAGCTGTGCTTCATCCTGTGTGCCTGAATCTGCTTAAGAAATCAATGACAAATGGGTTAGATTGGCGTTTCTCTCCACATGATCAAACTGCTTTGGAGCTACTTTAACAGACCATGTTTGTAGCAAAAAGGGCTCAGCAGGCAGCAGCTCCCTGATGGCCTGTTGATGCCTCAAGGTCAGGGACTTGGCAAATAAAACCCACCTATGCATGCTCTAAAGGAGGTCCTCTTTGATGTTTAGGGCGTGAATACTTCAATCCCAAGGTCATATACCCTTGCTAATGTCCTGCCACAAGTGACCCTTCTCCTGTCTATTTGTATGTTCTCAGTAAAACTTCTACACGTTTGTGCATCACATCCTTCACCCAAGAAAGCCCTAATAACCTGCCAATTACTACTGCCTTCTCCTCCTTTTTCTCCTCCAGAATCACATCCCACTGAGTGCCCAGGTAGGGTGTGGCTCCCTGCATGGGGCAGAGAAGCTCATTTGCTCACAAAGGAATGGTGACTGTCATTTAGATCTTTTGCAAATGACAAGGCAAATGATGGGAGGGGAGTGTTACTAGCTTTCAGACTCATAAGGAGAAAGTTATATCTACATATTCTTACAACTTAGATTACAATCTTTATTAAACAGAAGAATAACCAGGAGAAAATAGACACTGCTTTTAGATGATCAGTGTTAGATGCTAAATGTCTGGATACCAAAATGTTAAAATCTGGGCATAACTGAGAAGCAGCAACATGGAGATGGCTTTCTAGAATTTCACCCTGAGGGGAGAACACAGGCTGTGCTGCAAAGCTCATAGGCATTCTGGGAGGATTCGTCCTGGAGGGTCCAGTAGGCAGAGTGCAAAACAAGGCAGACAGAAGATATGTGTGCCTTTGGGCAAGACTTTTGGAGTCTCTGCTTCTTCTCTGGTTAAACTGAACAATAAGATATACAGCTAATATAATAATAATAATAATAATAATAATAATAAGCTACTGTTTATTATGCAACTCCTATGTGCCAGTCTATGTGCCTTATAAGCAACATCTCATTTAATCCTCACAACAAACTCACCAGTAGAAAGTATCACCCTTATGATCCCCACTTGCCACCTGAAGAAATAGAGGTTTAAGAGATTAAGTAAGTGGCAGAGGCAGAGCCTGAACTCCAGTGAGCCTTGCCCTAAACCGGTGCTATTTCCACTGCGTGCGTGGCACTCCCCCCTCTTTCTCCCTCCCTCTCACCTCCTCATAGGCATGTAAGGTAACTAATGCCCCCAGCACATTGCCTTGCAGATACCATAGCAAGTCATCCATCAAAATGAGTTCCCTTTTCTCCCTGTCTCTTTGACCACCTTTTTATTGATAGAGAAAATGGGGTTCAGAGAGATTTATATACAATGCCCCCAAATTATATACTTAGTTAATGTGCAAACTGGTGCTACAATGCAATCTTAACCTCTGGTGAATTCATTCATTCATTCATTCATTCAACAATCCCTATTTATGAAATAGGCATTGGGAACTGTCTTAGGTACTTGGGCTACAGTGATATATGATGCTACATATCACAAGAAATTTGGAAATAATAAGGCATAGTACCAGCTAAAAAGTGTCTTTACTGTTCGATAATCTTTTGGATCAGATGGGCACAAAGAGCTGGAATAAAATAGAACATTAGAAAACTGTCACCACAACAAAGCAGCAGGAGAGGACTCCGGGAATAAACAGAAGGGCAGGTTTTCCAGGTCAGGGCATGAGGATGGGCTTGAACTAGGAGGTTGAAAAAGGGATAACCCTTTGAGAGGAAATAATGAGGATGACAGATGTCTTTTATAAAATGAGGGAACAATATGAGTAGAGATGAGGGGATGGGAAAAGGTGGTAGGCACAGAGATTGGGAAGGGCTGAGGAGGCGAGGAGGGGTGGATGATACGCCTGGGGAGTGTGTGATGAGCTCCTCATAGAGGCCCCTGGACATCATGCGAGGGCTCGTGTACTCTGTTCTACTCAATACAAAGAGACACTAAAGGTGGCTGGATAGGAGAATGATATGTGAAGTTCTACACAGGAAAGATTAGAGGGGGAGAGAGAGGAGGGAGATAAGTAAGATGTCATTCTTTCCTAAGTTTCTTGACTGACTTAATAAATGAATGAATGTGTGAGCAAACTTATAAACATGTGGAGTACCAACATCTCCTAAGCATTGGTTGTGGTGCTGAGGGACAGGGATGAATAAGCATTGATTCCAGCTCTTCGAGAAATTGGGAGCTTGCAGTCCAGTGGGTGAAACCATCACTACATGGCCAAATAGAATATGATGTGCCCCTTGCTGTGCAACACAGAAGAGAAACAATTGATCTGGTGTTGGAGGGAGTGGGGGACAACCCCAAAGAGGAGACAGCAGGTGAGTTCTGTCTAAGTGGATGAATAAGAGTTTTCCAAGGAGAGAAGGAGGTCAAGATCAAGGCATTCCAGGACATTAGCTGATGAGCAGAGGAATGAACTATATAGACTAGGAATCACACATAACATAGAAGTTAAGAGCATATATTTTGAACTGAGACCTGGGATCAAATTTCCACTCTTCTACCTACCACTGTATAGGCTTGAGCACTTAACATAGCCTCCCCGAACCTCAATCTCCTTCTCTGGTATGAAGAAGCAGTGGGACTGTCCCCACAAAGAACTTAATCCAGCTCTGGTACCTGGTATAAGCTTAGTAAAGGGTAATGGTCATAATTCAAACAATATACCATGTGTCATGCAGCAGCCCTAGGAGTCATCTGTTGCGTATGCAGTCATGCAGGAGTTCCCTGCCTCTTCCCAGCCTGCAGCCTCCCACTCCTTCCACTGAGGGTGGGACTCCTGGCTGTCTGAGAAGCTCACTGCAGGGCACTGTACTCTTAAGTACTGAAAACTTCTTTCTGTTGGAATTTGATGGGTTGGCTGCTAGCCACCCGGTCCAGTTTTGCCCTCTAGAGGAACACAGGAAATACGTACTGTCTGTTTTACATGAAGGACATCCGGACATTGGAAGACAGATCTCACGATCCACAGAAGTGTTCTTTGTTTTTCAGAGACAGCACCTCTAGGTTATTTATCATAATTTTGTCATAAAAGGGCTGCCCTGGTCTGCTTGCCCTGTAACTTTCTGGGATACATCTTAAGGAAAATGAAGAAGCAAAATATCAATAGCCCAGAGTGGAGAGATCCTCTTGTGCCTCTGCCCTGTGCCCTGGGATTGCAGAAGCCTTGTCTTCACTGGATTCTAACTGGCCTGCAACCAAGTGCGGTCTTTCCACCCCAGTGGTGGTGGAATCTGACAAATGGCTCTGCCTTCTGTTCATGCCACTGATCTTTGGCTTAGCCTAATTCAAGACTTTCTATGCATCTTGCTTAATATCTTGCTTCTTTTGTTCCATCAGGGGAAATCTTTTGGCCATTTTATCCACCGGACACATCTTCCTGGATTTGGGATTTCTGTGGAATTGATAAATGGCCATGCTGTACCTTTATGTGGTGCTGAAAACAAAATGTCAGATGGGACTGGACCAAGGACAGAGCCATCCGACCCACTGAGTTACAAAATAACTTCGCGGGGTCTGCCACGTTCACCAGCCCCACAGACCCTGCAGCCGCACTCAGAGAAGGACATGACATTTGTTTTTCATAGCTTCTCAGTAAACACCAGCAGTTCCTCAGTAATTGTTAAATTACTAAATATGTACAATTTAAAAAATAATCCTATCCGGAATTTTGACAAGGGCTCACAATTTATGTTTCCTTCCCATGCAAAGAGTACAAAATGCACTTATGGGTAATCTTTTGGCTCTGGACTTCTCCGTGAGTTTTCAAAGACTGAGGTTAGACCAGCACATTTTTTTCCCCTCCAACACCAGAGGGTTAATTTGGTTTGTTCAACAAGTTCTGATTGACTAATGTCACATCCAAGACTTTATGTTTGTATCATCTTTTACCGAAGCTTAGAAACCTGAATTCATTGCTTTCCTGTTTTTCTCACCTATCCAGATTCAATTTTCCCTTCTAGATGGTTGTTTAACATTTCTAGATTGAGGACCATTTGCTTCCATGAAGAAAACAGAAAAGCTGAGAGCTGAGAATCCTGTGGCTCCCCCTCATGTAACATGACACCATCTGCCTCAGCCCCGCCCACCCTTCCCCTGGCCCCCACCCAGAAGAAGCAGCTCTGTTTTGCCGTCTTTAGAGTATTTTTTTTTGTTGTTTGTCAGATTCAGCCTCTTTGCTACATTATACTCACAAGCTCTAGCCAGACTTTTATCTGGGATTCCATGTCCCTTTGTCTTTCTTATGTGTCCTTCTAAACTCTGGTCCATTAGAGACTTCCCTGTGCATCTCACTGATTTCTATTGATGCTGGACTCAACACCAGTTGAACCGAATTAACTGATTTTTCTTTTTTTAATGGAATAACTTGTAATTCTATAGCCTGCAGTTCATTTTTTGCCAGTCTTCCTTTCCTCAAACATCCCTTTTGGGGACCTTTGAACACGGACGCATGTGCTGATTCCTAGGAAATCCGCCTTTCCAGTGACTGCCGAGCCGGCTTGCCTTGCTCTCCACCCCAGCCCCGCACTGAGACTTCACTCCACGATTTCCCTCAACTCACTGCCACGGTCAGATAGCTTCCTTCGGGTCCCGATGAAGCCCAGACCAGCCTCGCCCTCGTGTAGATGCAGTGGGGTGAGCGGCAGAGGGCCTGGGCTTTGAGATTGAGCAGACCTGGCTCAACCACGTACGAATGTGTCAACTTGGGCGAGTAGCCTCTCATGTCTCCACCTTGCTCCCTTCCTGTGAAAAATGGGGATGATGGTAGTACCTGTCTCGTAATTAGCTATGGGGACTGCATTAGATAATGCATTTAAATGCTTACCATAGTGGTGGGCACACAGGAAACATTTAATAAATTGCATTATTGTTCTTAGTACTTGTTTCTTCTAGTATCTACTTCTATACAGTTCCATGTCGATTACTTTCTGTTCACCTTCACAACTCAGC